GCAGCTGCAGGGTGACGGCGACGAGATGCTGCTCGTCGCCTCGACCGGGGAGGTGCTCGGTCGAGCACGCTATACCGGACGAGTCCTCTGCACCGACCTTCGCCCCTGCTCGACGCGGTCGCCGTCGACCGAGGTGGTGGCTCTCGGACGATCGTCTCGGCGACGAAGTCGACCCCTGACCGGTTGCATGCAAGGCTCGCGCACGTCGACGTCGACACAATCAAGAGCTCGGCGAAGCATGAAGTTGCTACTGGGCTCGACATCACGCCGAAGACCGGAGCAGACCCGCCGTGTGTCTCGTGCGTCGGAGGAAAGCTGGCGCGGCACACCTTCCCCGACAAGGGCTCGGACGCCGAGGAGGCACTGGCTGTCGTGCACATTGACTTGTGCGGGCCATTTCGGGTGGCTGCCAAGGATGGCAGCTTGTACTTCCTGCTGCTGAAGGATCGCCACACTCGGTTCGTGTGGGCAATGCCGGTCGCTAAGAAGAGCGATATGCTGCGGGAGTTTCAACAGTGGCTGGTGCTGGTCGAGCGGCAGACGCAGAAGACGGTGCTGATGCTCCGCTCTGACCGAGGAGGGGAGTTCCTCGGGAAGGAGTTCACCAATTTCGTCAACGGGAAGGGCATCGTCCACGACCTGACGTGCCCCTACACTCCGTAGCAGAACGGCATGGCTGAGCGGGAGATGCGCACGGTCGTAGAGTCCGTGCGGACGATGCTGCTGCACATGGGCGTGCCGCACCACTGGTGGCACCTCGCTCTACGACAAGCTGTCTGGGTGCGCAACTGCTTGGAGCGGTCGACGACGCCGCCGGGGACGACGCCGTACCAGCTGCTGACCAGGAAGAAGCCCGACCTCACGTTGGCGCGGGTGTGGGGCTGCATGGTGCAGTTCATGATTCCCGAGCAGCAGCGCGGTGGGAAGCTGGCGGCGAAAGCTCGCTGGGGGCTTCACCTGAGTGTGTCGCCGGAGAGCAAGGGCTGGGAGGTGCTCGACCTGACTGACAACAAGGTGGTCACGTTGGTTGAGGTGATCTTCTACAAGACGCTGTCGCTGGAGGTGTGGAAGGCGAAGTATGGGCCGGCGTCGGGGCGGACGCAGGCACACCCGCCGACTTACACCTCGACGGCGACGGTTCCACTGCTTGCCGAAGTCGACGAGCCTGCTGATGAGGATGTTGTGGAGGTTCTTCCACCTCCCCCTGTTCTTGCTCCTCCCTCCCCCGTCGCAGATCGGCCTGCGTCGACGCCTGTGTCGGCCGCCGGCGATGAGGGGAGCCTTGAGGCGTCGCCTGTGGCGCCGGCCGGTGGCATCGCCGGCGGTCGACAAGTCGCCAAGCTCGTCGACCAGGACAGGAAGCCGTCGACGACAGGGGAGCAGCAGACAGGGGAGCCGGTCAAACAGAAGGCAGCAGCAGGAATGCAGTCGACAGGGGAGCTGTCGAAGTCAGCAGGAGGAGAGCAGCCGGTCAAAGGGTCGAAGCAGCTGGTCGACGACGACGACGAGGAAGGGGAGCGGTCGGCGGGTGAGGAGTCCACTGACAGCGACGTGGTGGAGGTGCCGATAACGAAGCCTGAGCTGCGACGCACAGGTCGAGCTCGACGGCCGCCGGAACGGCTGAGCTTCTACGCCTGCCTACCGCCAGCTGCCTTCACCACGGTGTACCACGAGGTCGACGATGACCTGTTGTACGACGACGCCGAGGAGGATGAAGAACTGCCGGAGCTCGACCCCGACGTGCATGCCGACCCCGAACACCGCTGGGACATCGCCACGATGACGGTGAAGGAGGCGCTGGCGAGCTGGAAGGGCGAGGCGGTGAAGGCCGCCATGGAAGAAGAGTTCCGCAGCCTCATCGGCATGGGCACTTGGGAGCTGGTCGACCGCCCACGTGGGGTGAACATCATGAAGAACCGGTAGGTGCTGACGACCAAGTACCGCATCGACGACACCGTCGAGCGCGAGAAGGCGAGGCTCGTCGTGAAGGGCTTCACGCAGGTGTACGGTGCCGACTACGACGAGACGTACTCGCCGGTGAGCAGCTACGTCACGCTGAGGATCTTCCTCAGCATTGTCGCCGCCCTCGACCTCCACCTGATGCAGCTCGACATGAAGAATGCCTTCCTGCAGAGCAAGCTCGACCGGGTGCTGTACATGTACCAGCCGGACTACTTCGACGACGGGACCGGCCAGGTGTGCAAGCTGCTGAAGAGCCTCTACGGGCTGAAGCAGTCGCCGCTGCTGTGGTACAGGGCTCTCGATGGTGTGCTGCTGGGCGCTGGCTGGAAGAAGAGCCAGGTCGACGAGGCGCTCTACTTCAAGGCCGGCGACGACGGAGTGACCTGCTGGGTGCTGGTCTACGTCGACGACCTTCTCGCCGCCAGCAGCAGCACCGCGATGCTGAAGGAGCTGAAGGAGCTGCTGGAGGCCGCCTTCGAGCTGCGTGAGATCTCGTCAGTGGTGAAGTACCTTGGGCTGGAGATCGTGCGCGACAGGCCGGCCAGGAAGCTGTGGCTGCACCAGCAGGGCTACGCCGACAAGCTGCGCAGGAGCTTCATCGACGAGGAGCAGGGCGGTCGAGTCCCGAAGACGCTGGTCTCGATCGACGCCTACACCGAGCTGACGTTCGACGACGAGGAGGCCCAGGAGCGCGAGGAGGAGGAATACCGGCAGAAGGTTGGCTTGCTACAGTTTGCGGCGACGACGACGAGGCCGGACATCGCGTTCGCCTGCAGCAAGCTGGGGAGCGGCCTCACGGTGAGGAGCGACCAGCATTGGCGCGAGATCGACCGCTGCCTCGCCTACCTCGCCGACACCCGCGACACCGCCCTGGAGTTCGGCGGTGGACCAGAGTCGCTGGAGCTGATCGGCTACGTGGACGCCGATGATGCGGGTGATAAGCAAAACCGGACGAGCACGAGAGGCTTCGTGTTCGTCTTTGGAGGGGCCGCAATCTCCTGGTCGAGCCAGCGCATCAAGTGCGCGGCACTCTCCTCGACCGAGAGTATGTCGCGTCCACGGACGCTGGCAAGGAGGGGCGTCGACTGCGCTTCCTCCTAGCAGAGTTCAAGCTGCTCGACGCAGGGAAGCCGACTGTCCTCCGCGTGGACAACAAGTCGGCGATCATGGTTGCTGAGGGCTTGGGGCTGACGGGCAACCTCAAGCACATGGAGCGACGCTACGCCTGGCTGCAGCATATGGTGAGGCGCGGGAAGTTCGTGCTGAAGTACATCCCGACCGCCGGGCAGCCGGCGGACTTCCTGACGAAGCCGCTGCATTTTCCGGCTTTCAACCGGTGCTCTGTCGCCATCGGCCAAGTTCGTCTGGCCGACGTTGGCGACGGCGACGATGAGGTGCAGCAGTAGGTGCCGTGCCCTTCTGCACGGCTGGTGCGGTGACGGCGTGCTGTGTGTGGGGTGCACGCCGAGGACGAGTTTTCTCCGTGGAGTACTGCCGTGTGGGCTGGAGGCCCAAGCGTGAGCGCGGCAGGGGAGTGTTAACGGGAATGGAGTGTTGGCCCCGCCCTCGCTTGGGCAACACCGACGACTTGGTCGGATGTACGGGAGTAGCAGCCGACCGTTCACAGTGGGAGAGCTGCTCGACATGCTTGGTCGAGCTGCAGGGGACCGCTGTGGTGTTGCTGTCGACCAGGGAGCTCGACAGCTGCAACTGACTGGTCTGGGCGACGGGTGGGCCGTCGACCAGGAGGGGCAGTTCGACCGGGAGGTCGACGGAGCAGTCCGTCGACCTACACTTCGACCGGGAGGTCGACGGAGCAGTCCGTCGACCTGACAAGTGAGCAGAGGTCGACGAGGGGAGCTCGGCGACAACAGCTGACAGTTCTGGTCGACGGAAGGGGGCCGTCGACCAGGGGGTAGCTCGACGGGAGCTGTGGTCGACCAGAGGGTTCAGGTGGTCGACCAGAGGGACCCAGTGGTCGACCAGAGGCACTGGTGGTCGACCGGAGCTCTTGGTGGTTGACCAGGTCGACTGGGTAACGAGTTCTGCGGAGGCACGCGAACGTCGTCGAGGTTGCGATGGCGTAGGCGACTTCGGGTTGGTATCCCGAAGTCGATGTGGCTCGTCAGGTGCAGACAACAGCCGACGGATGCACAACGGTGCAAGTCGGGCCAATCGTCTGCGCACACCTGCGAGCGTGCGCACTTCTGTCTTCTACGGGGCAACGCTGGACAGCCCCTTTGCTGCAGCGTTGGCACGCCGTCGACCTGCAGTGTTGGCAGGTCGCCTTTCTGTACTGATGGCGCGGCTCCTCTACACAACGCTGGCAGGCGGTCGACCATGCAGTGCTGGTGGTCGACCTGGCTAGCTGCAGAGTTGCTAGGTGCCTGATGTAGTCATTCCTGTCATTGCTTACTCAATGATTCTGTAATTTCGACTTTGCTAGTGGACACTCTTGCCGATTTCTCCCGTGATTGTGCAAGCACTAAGGAACGAGGCAAAGCTACGATCACTCCTAGTAGTTCGTGCCAACCCCCGTAGTCTAGCTCACTACCGTTGTAGAGTGACTCTTCGCAGAGTTCAGATGGGACACCTACAACTTTACAATTCTAGCGTCATACTTTCCAGCAAGCGCGTGCAACAGGGTTACCTTCTTCAGAGACGAGCTGGGCGCTTTTCTTACGAGTCTGGGTGCTCGGAGTAGGCTGCTGCTAGCGGGTGATCTTAATGTTGTGGAGGACCCAATCCTGGACAAGTCCACGGGGGTGGGGGGAGGCTCATCCAGGGAAAACAACAGGATGTTGCACATGTTCAGCGGTCTTCATATGGGAGACACGTTCCATACACAGAATCACGGCGGTCGCGAGTTCACCTTTCTCGCTCGGGCAACGAAGTCAAGCTCGAAAATCGATCGGATACTGGTGTCAGCTGAGCTGCTTCCCTCGGTGGTCAAGGCCTTCCACACTCGTTCGCTGGGTGGCATCTCGGATCAAAACTGCGGTATTTAGGTGGTGCTGCAGGCGAACCTGAGGCTGCACATGGGCCCGGGCATCTGGCGGATGCCATCTGCAGACACGGCAAAACCAGGAATGGAGAAGGTGACTAAGGCGGTCACAGAAAAGCATCAAGCGGGGGACTCAGGCAACTTCGGCTCCCTACTTACCAAGCTTAAGGCTGCGCTCAGGAGGTATGTGACGGAAGAACGGAAGCGGGTGCACGCGTCGCTGCGGCACCTGGAGCCGGCGGTCTCCGGGCTGCAGCAGGAGCTGATGAGGAGACCCCATCGGGATGACCTTCGTGCGGTCCTGGTTGAGAAGGAGTCACAGTTGGCCGCATATCAGAAAGGGGAGAATGACTGGCTACATCTCTTGGCAGGGGTGAAAGAAGAAACGAAGGGTGAAATTGCGTCGAAGGTTCTCTCGGCAAAGGAATCGAAGAAAACGCGGACGGCGATCACTGTTCTGACTTCACTAGGGGTGGAGCAGAGAGGAACGAAGGGTATCCTGGAGCCTGCCTCCCGGTTCTACTCGGCGCTGTTTGCGGAAGCTCCCCCGTCGGGCTTGCCTTGTTGGAAGTCGGACCTGCAGAAAATGCTACGGGAAGAAGAGGTGGCCGGCCTGGAGGCAGATTGGTTGGAGGAGGAAGTAGAGGAGGCGCTGAAGGACATGGCGTGTGACAAATCTCCAGGCAGCGATGGCCTGCCGAAGGAGCTCTTTGAGCGCCACTGGGACCTGCTGAGGGGGGATTTCATGGGCTTCGTGAAAAAATTTGAGTCATCGGCGGTTCTCCCAGAGGAGGTGTAGGAGGCGGTGACCATCCTGCTGCATAAGAAGGGGCCACCGAACTTTTCTGTGCGCACGAACCAAGACGAGATTGCTATGGTATGTGTATTTGAACATGGGCCACCCGAATATGCAACAACATTCATGGCTGAACTACAGGCTGATCAAACTACAAGCTGATCACCTTGCTGACAAGCTCCTACAAGGTGATCGCGAGGCTGCTGGCCAACCGCATGAAGAAAGTACTGGGTACGGTTATCTATGAGGAACAGCATAATTTCCTTCCGGGCAGGCGTCTATCTGACGCAGTATCGACGGTTGCTGATGTGATTGAAGCCGCGAACAACGATAGGGAGGACTGGTACCTGTTGATGATTGATTTTCAAAAGGCTTACGACTCCGTGTCGCGGTCGTTCCTCTTCGATACGATGGCGCTGATGGGTTTCCCAATCAAGTTCATCCAATGGTGCAAGGGTCTGCATGGGGGATCTTTCACTCGGCTCTTGGTCAACGGTTGGATGGGAGATCGGGTTGACATCCGCAATGGGGTTTGGTAAGGGTGCCCGCTGGCGGCCTACCTCTTCTTATGCGCGGTGGAGCCGATCTGCCAGGAGGCAAAACGCAGGAAGTTAGGCGTCTGTGACGACCATGGAGATAGGCTGGCCTACCTCGATTACGCCGATGACACGGCGCTTTTACTAAAAGGGAAGCGGCAAATCGATCGAGCGGAGAAGCTTTTGGAGGAGTTTGGGGCCCGCTCAGGCCTCCACGTTAACAAGGACAAGTCAGCGCTGCTCCCGCTGGGGAATAACCTGCAAGAAAAGAGAGACGAGGGGTCAGGCTTTGCGTGGGTTGAACTGAAAGATGCAGAGAGGCTTCCGGGGATCTGGGTCTCCCCGTCAGGAAGCGCGGAAGTTACCCGGGTTAGCCAGAGGGCTGAGGAGCTTGTGAAATGGCAGTCACAAGACATAACCACAACGACGAGGGTGGCGGTGGTCAAAGCCTACGTCTGTCCTGTCTTGGCGTTCCGAGGGCAGGTCTACCCTCAGTCAGAGAAGGTGTGGAAGCGGATCATGAAACTGCTCGTGAACTTCATCTCTAGCAACAGGGCGTTGGAGGAGCACCACTTCTCGCTCTGGAGCAAAGAGTTGATCTTCAGACCGCAGAAAGACGGCAGGCTGGGGCTGAGGGACCCTTTCATTGAGCTCAGCGGCTTGGCTGCTAGACGGGTGGGGAAGCTGATGTTGAACAGGAGTGGTGTTCGCAGATGGTTGGCAACAAAGGCGGCAGACCTTCCTGCTCCTTCTGGGCGCACCCGGAGTTCCTGATAGCAGGGAAGGGTCGAAGTGTCATGTGGAAGCAGACTTGTGAATTGTTCATGATGTCGAGCATAGCAAAGAAAGGCCCGGTTTCGCGATGGGACTTCGCGCAGGAGCAGCTGGTGTTCAATCGGCATGTCCTGCTGAATGGGAAGAAGCCGTTGGGACGACAAGCGGCAGCAAAGGGGCTGGAGCTGATTAAGATAGGCGACTTCGTCGGACGGGCGGATGACGGCACACGTCTCTTCAAGGATGAGAAGGTGTTGGCGAAGGAGCTGGGCACGCTAAAAAAGGCGCGGAGGGCGCTTAAAACTTTCGGTAGTGTCCCAGCCTCTTGGAAGGAGAAGTTACTGGCGCCTATCACGGGGGCGGAGTTTCTGGCGGAGTCGTCATACGTGAAGAAATTAGGAGCTGTGGGAGTTTGGAAGGTGGAGAAACGCGTGCAGGAAGGACTTGCCTGCCAAGCATGCGACTGCTTCGGTGTGCCCCTGGTGAGGTCTGCGGAGACAACTGCAGTTCTTGATCTGGATAAGGTGGAGCCTCTGATGGTGCGGAACGGAAGGGTGATTGGAGTGTGTTGTCTGCCCGAGGTACGGCTGCGTTGCTCGGAGCTTTGCATGGAGGATCGGATCCCTCCTTTCAAGCACCTGAGGATGTTCTTTGGCGCGCAGCAGGGGGTGATGCGGCAGCAAGGAAAATGGACGGAGGAGTGGGGGAAAGTAATTGACTGGAAATGAGTGCGGGACTCTGCGGTGCTTCCGAACCGGGCCCGAGTTGTCCTGCTTCGCCTGCATTGTCGTAACCTCCAGGTCGGGGTGAGGCTGAAATTCCTCGAGGGGGTGGCATGCCCGCACTATGGAGTGGAAGATACAGCAGAGCACTGCTTGTTCGACTGTCCTCGTATTCAGCCTGTGGTGCATGGGCTGCTGTAGGCACTCCGTATGCTCAACCCAGGTAGGAAAATCACTTCATTAGGAGATCTGCTGTACCAGAGGGAAGGCTCAAGATCGGGCTTCCCGGAAGCGACGATCACCACCATCGCCTTGCACAATATATGGATGGAGAGGTGTGACGCTGACTTCGTAAGGGGGCAGTTTCGGTCCAAGGGGGTGCTGCGCAAGATTGCAGCGGCCTTCTACACTCATACGAGGGTTTACCTTCGGGCAAAAATGGGAAGCAAACGGGCAGGAATCATGCTGGGGCCGGGGAAACGTTCCATTCTGGAGCGGTTGGATCCGGACGAGTTTCGTCTTATGAGCAGGGTGTGTGACAGCTCGGCTAAATCGCTTGCGTGGACCAGTGGCTTCACCTCTATCTGGCCCAATCTGCGCACGATCTTCCGTCCACCATAAGGTGTCAGGATGGGTACGATGGCAGGCTGCTGTCTAGGCCCATTAACTACAGTTATGACTGTCTAGTGTATCTTGCATTGCAAAAAAAAAAAAAAAAAAAAAAAAAAAAAACTGCTTTGGCAGAGTAGTAGTAGGATGAAGGGCGAAATGACGCGCATCATCGAAAATTGTGTTTGCCTTAAAACCATCGACCCAAATTATCTTGACCTCGCCACGTCGGATCCCGCCTAAATTCCATGGACCGCACTTCCACGGAGCCTTTTTGGTCGATTTTCTCGCTCTTTCTCTCCGAATTTCGGGCAGCAATTTTGACATCCGCTGAAATCACAAACACTCATAATAGCGCAGAGTAGTGTACAGTTGATGCTCAGCCTATCACAAAAAATTTGATCGTCACAATTAGAATTTACTCACTCGCAAACCCGTGGGGTGACTAAATTGAGCATCGTGAAAATTTCGGGGTATAGTCACCAAAATGCGGAAGTCAACATCTACAATGCATAAACAACAAAGAATCCACGTCATCAAAGTGTTGACCTGGTTACGAAATTAAACCCCAACATTCCACTTTCATTGCACTTTCATTTCACAATCACAATATTGCATGGGGCGACGAGGGCGAAGTAAGCGAAATGTTAAACGTGTTTCACGCACATGTCGCCCGGCTGCCGGGTGTTCTTGTAATGGGCATTGACTGTACCGCCTAGATATCGCCACGCGTGGCGGATCTGATTGGAAAGAAGAATTGTAATTGATGTAGCGCTGTTACGGGTGCAATGGAACGAGATAACGAGGATTGCACTAGGTGTCAAACGAGTACAAAGTATGAGCGAATACTTATGTGCGAAAACATGCAACAGTTACGCGATGCGTGCGAGCTAGCTGATGCTAGGCTGTCATCGAGGCTCGGGCTAGTCCCGAAGCGTAGGCTGACTAGGCCAGGCCAGCGGTGCATGGTTTGGTGAAACAGTGCGCGCGAAGTTGGCGAAGCCCCGCTAGCAGTAACGGGCGTACAACGTTGCTGCTGTACACGATGTTGAAGGCCGCGGTAAGGAATGCTGAAAAATTCCTTATACTACCCCCCCCCCCCTCTCAAGAAGCCCCCTCCGCTACGCGAGTGCGTGTGTATCGCGGAAACCCCGGCTCCTCAGGTACACTTGCAGGGCAAAGTTGTTTTCGATGTTGGCCAGGGGCACCCAGCTATCTTCAATTGGCGTGCGGTCCTTCCAGCGAACGAGGAACTCGATCCTCTTGATGCCTGTGGGGTGACGAATCCGATGGCTCAAAATCTTCTCGGGCTCGACGATCGGCTCTGATGCAGGGCGAGTCATTGACGGTGGACGATGTCGTGGCAGTTGGCTTGTGGTCGGAATGTATGGGCGAAGCAGGCTGACGTAGAACGACAGGCTGATGTACCAGTCTGTCGGCAACAGTAAGTGGGCCGTAACTGGGGTGATCATGTGGCTGATTTGGAACGGTCCACAGTAGCGCGGTCGAAGTTTCGGTACGACGGGTAGTCTTAATTTCTGTGTATCGAGCAGTACGTAATCTCCTGACCGGTACGCGACTGGGCGACGGTGGTAGTCAGCGTTTCTCTTAGCAATGGCGTTTTATTTGTTTGTTTGTTTGTTTGTTTGTTTTTTTTTTTTCTCGTTTCTGCTGCTTGCGTTCGGGCAGCTTGCAGGAACTAAGCGAACTGTTGTGCGCGTGGCGTGGGGTTGTCCGGACTCGGCGTCATGGGCACTGTTGGATTTTGCCCGTAGTTCAGATATAACGAGGACTGCTGCGTCGTTGCTGACGTGGCGTTGTTGTAGGCGAACTCGATCAGCGGTAGCTGTTGCTCCCATGTTGTCGGGTCGTCGCACGTGGCACGAATCAGCTACTCCATGGTCTGGTTCGTCCGCTCCGTTTGACCGTCGGTCTCGGGTTGGTATGACGAGCTGAACTGTAGCCTGGTCCGATTCGCTCCCAAAGGTTCTTCCAGAAGTTGCTGGTAAACTTTGTGTCGCGGTCGCTGATTATCGCGACTGGTATCCCGTGCAGTCGAACGACGGTTGCGATGAACAGGCGAGCGGTTTCTTCGGCTGAGATCGATTTCCTGCACGCAGCGAAGTGAGCCATTTTCGTCAGTCAGTCAACGACGACCATAACCGCGTCGTTACCCCCAGAATTCGAAGGTATTCCCGTGACGAAATCCATGGTAACCTACTGCCAGGCGCACTCGGGCGGTGGAATCGGCTGCAACTGACCCGCCTTTCTTTTTTGCGAGCTCTTCATCACTTGACACGTAGGTCACAAGCCCACGTGGTGCTGTACGTCGGTCAACAGCTCCGGCCAGTAGTAATACTGCTGCAGTTGCTTTCGTGTTTCTTCTACCCCGAAGTGACCCGAGGTAACCCCGTCGTGTGCCTCTTGCTTAGCAGTTCCCTAAATAGTAAGTACGCGGGTACCCAGATGCGGTCGGTGCGTGTCTTTACGTAATAGACTCCCTTTGCTTCTGCCAGTTGCTCTGAATTTCCGGTCGTGAAAAATGGGTCGGTGCAGTATCCGTGGGTGAAAAGTGGGTTGGTTTGGGCGAGTAGGATGGCGTGAAGTTGGGCGGTGGGGCGGGTGAGTGCGTCGGCGATGTTTGATGCTCCTTTTTTGTACGTGACGGTGTAGTGGAAATTGGACTCCAGATAGTCCAACCAGCGAATTTGTCGCGGATTGAGATTCGGTTGGGCACGAAGGTACCGTAATGCACGATGGTCTGTCCGTACTGTCACGTCGGCTCCTTTCAGGTAGCACCGCCACACCTTGAACGCGTGCACGATCGCCAGCATCTCGCGGTCGTGTATCGGATAGTTGCGTTCGGGGGGGTGAAGTTTGCGGGACTCGTACGCAATTGGCTGGAGGTCGTTCTTGAAGTCCTGCAACAGTACTGCTCCCACAGCGTTGTCACTGGCGTCGATGACGAGCTCGAACGAACGGTGAGGATCTGCGATGTGAAGCACGGGCGGCGAGCACAAAATAGTTTTGAGGGCCGAGAAGGCAGTTTGCTCTTTCTCCCCCCACGTGTACTCAACCCCCTTCCTCAGCAGGTCGGTCAACGAGGCAGTCAACTGCGCCATGTCGGGGACGAACCGTCGCACATAGTTGACGAACCCCAGAAAACTCTGCAACTCGGTCAAGTTGGTCGGCAAGTGCCATGCTTGAATGGCCGCGATTTTTTTCGGGTCTATTTCCACTCCGTTGGCTGAAACAATGTGCCCCAAAAACTCCACACTGTCCTGTAGGAACTCACACTTAGATGCTTTGATCAGTAGGCGGTTCTCACTCGGTATTTTAAAAACTGCTTCGATGTCCTGTAGGTGCTGTGCTCTGTCTGGGCTGTAGATCAGTATATCGTCTAAGTAGACGATCATGCACTTATCTAAGAGCGGGCGGAAGGCTTCGTTCATGGTCATTTGGAAGGTCGCAGGGGCGTTGGTCAGTCCGAAGGGCATTACCGTGTATTCGAAAGATCCGTAGCAAGTTCAGAATGCATTTTTTGGGTAGTCGGGCGGATTGACGCGGATCTGGTGGTAACCTCCTCGAAGGTCAATTTTCGAGAAAACTCGGGCTGCGCGAAGTTGGTCGATCAGTTCGTCGGCTCGCGGGATGGGATAACGGGACTTGATGGTAACTCAGTTCAGTACGTGGTCATTTATGCACATGCGAAATCCCCCGACTTTCTTCGGTGTAAACAGTATCGGTGCTGCGAAGGGCAACAAACTCGGGCAAATGAACGGTTTTTCGAGCAGGTAATCTAACAGTTTCCACAGTTCGTCCAGTTCGGGTTGGGTCAGTCGAAACTGTCGCTGTACTATTGGTTGTGCCCCTGGTTCTAGTTCTATCCTGTGGTCGTGCGGTCGCTGAGGCGGCAGTCGCCGCTGTACTGCTTCAGTAGCGCTGCCAGGTCATCCGGTACGTCTGTGAGCAGTTTCTGTAAATCACTCGGCTTGTCTGCTCCCTCGACTTCCGGAATGTCAACCACATACACATCAGCTCCTGCCGCTACGACGCGTTTCATCGTGACCGCGTTGAGATGCACCGACGAAGACTCAGGCGAGCTCCAGCGAGGTAAGGCGATGTTGTTACCGTTCACTCGCACAGTGCAGTCGCCCGTCGTCCAGTCAATTCACGGATTGTGTCTTCGCAGCCAATCACGGCCGAGTAAAATGTCGGTTCCGTCGAGGGTCGTTGCGAGCATTTCCTAGGTAAACATGAAGCTACCCCCGCAACGAATCCTAACTCGGTCCACACGTTCCCGTATCGCCAGTGGCGTGCCGTTGACCAGTCGTGCGTCGATCTCAGGTAAACATCTGTCCAGTGGCAGTTTCGGTCTCCGTGCTATGGCAGTGTTG